CCCTGGGCTTGACTCTGGAACTGTGGCCCTGCATTCTGAGCAGTTTAGAGATATTGAGCTTCAAAGTTTTTGCATTCCATACAGCAAAAATGAATTGGGGAACAAGTCTCTTTCATACATAAAAATCACAGAGACCCTAAATGTATTCTAAATGTACAATATCAAAATCTTCTCAAATTTGTAAATGGGGATTTTTGGAACAGGTCAAATGCAGATAGAACCTAATTCTAAAAAAAAAAAAAATCACTTTCCGCTTGGAATTATAAGGTTCTATCTTGCAAATCATTAATTGACGCAATAAATTTCAAGAAAAGTGTTTACTTCTAATTTGTTTTAAAATATAAAATTAGTGTTGTAACAATATGGCAACATGTAAAAAAAAAAAAATCACTTTCCGCTTGGAATTATAAGGTTCTATCTTGCAAATCATTAATTGACGCAATAAATTTCAAGAAACACAGTTTACTTATAATTTGTTTTAAAATATAAAATTAGTGTTGTAACAATATGTCAACATGTATGAGAAAGGTAAATTGAATGCTTTCTATGACATTTATTTCATATTTTAGGATGAATAATTTTTTTCTTGTTCAAGTTATACATAAAAGGCAGTGCTAAATACTTTGTCCAGTGCAGATGTTAATTTTAGGTAGGAATATGGTGGGTAATTAAACACATTATTGCAGGAAAAGTTTAATCAGCCACTGTAATACATCTGACCAGGACTTTATTCCACAGAAAGTGGGACAGGTAAAATGGCTTTCTCCTAGAGATCAGTATGGCTGAAATAACATGCTGAATGATTTTATCTTAAAAACTTGAACTTAATGACTTAATATCACTCATCTTGGCCTCTGAGATGATGCTCTGTTTGGGGAGTACCCTTGGTTTGGTTCAAATGAATGTAGATGGCAGGCTTCTCGTGTGTTTGCTTGATCCTCTTAGGTCTACTTTAACTCTAGGCTGTGCATGTGATTTTTGTGTAATGAAGAGTATATGGACACTGGTCAAACACAAGCTGAGACACTATAGAGAATGGAACCTGTTTGTACTGAAACATCTTGGAACATGTCTGAAAGTCATAGAAATCTGTACTCTTCATTTGTATGATCTCATATGGGTTGTTCCTGTTCAGCTTCAGTAAAACACGCAAGAAAGACAGTGGTGAATAGAATTCAGACACTGCCATTGCCTTTTCAATATGGCTGTGCATGTTATCTAGCTCTTGTACTGTGGAGTGGCCTGGAGTAGAGTACTTCATTGTAATCTTTTTTTATTTGAGGATGTCATATAGTCAAGCTGCTCCCACAACAGCTCAATAGGGTTCAGATCCGGAGACTCTGCTGGCCACTCCATTAATGTCAAAATTCCAGCTGACTGCTTATTCTCTAAATAGTGCTGGCATAGTTTTGAGGTGTGTTTTGGGTCATTATTATCCTGTTGTAGGATAATAATGACCCCCACAAAATGTAGGCCCCCCACAAAATATGCTTGGCCCCCCCTTGTGCCCCCCCCAACAGCGCAGACTGATCCGAGTATAACATCTGCTGTGCGGGAGCAATTCAGCTGCATTTAAAATGCTTAAACTGGCCCCAATCAAGTGCTGTCCACAGGGTATGGCATGCCGTTGCAAAATGTTAGATAGCTTTCCTTCTTCAAGGTCCCTTCCACTCTGTACAAATGTCCCATTTCACCACCTCCAAAGCACCCCATGACACTGCCTCCACCATGCTTGACTGGTGGTGTTAAGCACTGTTCTAGCAGAGTTTCATTTGTTCTGCATCTCACAAATGTTCTTCTGTTTGATCCAAAAACCTCAAACTTGGACTCATCTGTGCACAATACATTTTTACAGTCTTCCATTGTCCAGTGTCTCTGCTCTTTTGCTGATCTCAATCTTTTCTTTTTATTGGCCAGCCTAAGATATGGCTTTTTCTTTGCAATTCTGCCATAACGTCCAGCATCCCGGAGTCGCCTCTTCACTGTTGATGTTGACACTGGTCTTTAGCGGGTACTATTTAATTAAGTTGTCATTTGAGGACCTGTGATGCATCTTTAACTTAAACTACACACTGTCAGCTATTTGTCCTCTTGCACAGTTGTGCACCGGGGCCTCCCACTCCTTTTTCTGTTCTGGTTAGAACAGGTTTGCGCTGTTCTATGAAGGGAGTAGTTCACAGCATGGTAAGATATTTTAAGTTTCCTCACAGTTTCTCGCATTGAATAGCCTTCATGTCTAAGCACTTCTATAGACTGGCATGTTTTCAAAGAAAGTTATTTCTTTCTGGCCATTTTGAGCCTATACACAAATGTACAATTCCTGATGCTCCAGATACTAAACTACCCTAAAGAAGGCCACCTTTATTGCTCCCTTAATCAGTACAACAGATTTCAGCTGTGCTAGCATACTTTCAAAAAGGGTTTCAAATCATCAATTAGCCTTTTAAAATGATTAACTTGGATTAGCAAACATAACACGATATTGCAACAGCGGAATGATAGTTGCTGATAATGGGCCTCTGTGTGACAATGTAGATATGGTGAAAATGTGATGTTTTTGAAAAGGAAAAAAAAATAATTTTCCTTTGGAAATAACTCTTCACTGCTAGAATCATTTTCTTTACACATAAGTTGTGGATGCTCTTTATATAGAGCTGCACAGCTGTTACAATCAGTTTCCATTGTTGAAAAATGAAACATTACAAAAATAATATTATTGATCAATTATTATTATTATTCATAGTAATATCAAACATCCTTAAATAATATATCTCCATCTCTCTTTATATATATATATATATATATATATATATACACATATAAAGCACCTGTTAGCAAAGTTTTGTCTGACGTCTGGACATGCCTAGTAACATTATGATGCTACTGTGTTTCTATCATAAAATTATCTCAAATAACTGTTGAAGTGCAATGTACTTGCTATAACAAGAATAACAATGTACAGTGAGAGAATTGCAAGATTTACTAGTCATTACCTTTATAAATGACTGCAACTGCATTTAAAACATATTTTGAAAAATATTTAAATATTTTTCTATTAATCTATTAGTCTGAATTTACATTGCTTAGTGAACATCTATTTTGACAAATTATATATTTTTTTCTCCCATTTAAAAATGAATCCCGCATTTATGTGAGGGATGAGGGATTTATATGTCACTCACGAAACTTTGCTACTTGTACAGGGTGTATGGCCTTTAGCAGCACAAAAAAACTAATTTTTTTTTCAAATTCTGAATGGATTATATTTAGCCTAGAAAGTGCCCAAATAGCTCTTCCTTTATAATCACTAAAAAGGTGTCACTTTCTTCAGTTCATCGCGATCTCACAAAGTTCCTTTATAATCAATGAACCTCTTATTTACATCGTGTTACAGAGAGAGGATTTGCAAGCATGCAGAACAAAATCCTGTCTCATTTGAACAGAATGGCCAACAGATATGTCTGTGATTTCTCCGAAACACATTGTAATATTATTTTGATGTTCTCCAGAGCATTTACCAAATCTGTTTAGCCAATATCCTATTATTACATTTTAAACTTAGGGTGGTTTTCGCTGCATGAGGAAATGGATGTGTGGCGTGTGGACGTGAAAAGTGTCAATTACGTGAATCTCACGCTGACTGCATGAGAGTTGGCAGCCCTGCTAGTACCTAGTGGAATAGATAGTAGTAGCTAAAAAAATGAGTACTAGTAGACAGGGGCGTGTCTAAAGGGGTAGCACGGGTGCTGTGCGGGAGCAATTCAGCTGCATTTAAAATGCTTAAGTTAATGTATGCTGAAAGCTCCTTAGAGTTTTAAGTTTAGTGCTTAGTTGTGTTATTCAGCCGCGATGCACCAGCACGGCTTAAAATAGAAATCATTATGTTACTGTTTCTTGTGTTGGGGCACATGACTTTTCCCAGACTGGTTCTTGGTCCCTCCTGTGCCACCCCATTAAAAAAAATCCTACAATCACCCCTGCTAGTAGAATGAAAATAGATATTAGTTCGTTTTAAGGATTAAAGTTATGTTACTGTTTCTTGTGTTGGGGCACATGACTTTTCCCAGACTGGTTCTTGGTCCCTCCTGTGCCACCCCATTTAAAAAAATCCTACAATCACCCCTGCTAGTAGAATGAAAATAGATATTAGTTCGTTTTAAGGATTAAATGTTAAAACAGCTTGCCATATGTTGGAGGGCGAGTCTGATTCTGAATCATCTGAACAATCACACAGAATACATATAAATACACAGAGCATTACACATAAAAAAAAAAAAACAGAAGCACGACTGAAATAACTCTAAACACAACAAATTTAGCACATTGCCAAAATACACATAAACAGTAAATATTAGTCATCCGCAGATGACACTGAATGAAACTGGTTACGCTGTCAGAATATTTGCAGTAACTTGCATAAAAATATGCTTCAGCCACTTTTTCCTAATTTTGATATCCTCTTGAAGCACGTCTGAAGGATTTTCTGATATTACTTGAATATACACTTTTCAATGTATTCGAGTATATTTAGGTTTATAACGCGTCTGGTTCTCACCTCATTAATGAATTTGTAGTTTGCGGGTAAAGCTGCAAAGTCCTCCTCAGCGTCAGCTGCCTCCGTAATAATCCTATGATACGTGCAGCATGATTAAATCATAAATTAATCTATTACCAAGAGCGCTTTTCTTCCCTTTTTCATCAAAACAATAGTTGCATAGTATGACTTAAGCGCAGTAGGGCAATCACGCGTTGGCACCTTATAAGGCTGTGAATTGCATTGAATCTGACACCTCAGCTGCACAACCATCCCTCAACACAGAATATTCTGACTCACTTTCAAACTCAAATGTTCATTTCTTACACAAATGAAGGTATGCATATAAAAATAAATGAGACAATAAGTGTAATGCATATGGCCAAAAATATTTCATTTTATAGCTTTTATTTTCATCCTTACCTAGACATTTAATGTAAATTATCTGCAAATAATAAGAAAATTTAGCAAAATAAACAATATCTCTCTATTAAGCAGAAAGCAATAAAACATTTTTTAAATGACACCCAGAGCAAATCCCTATTAAAGCCTGTTTCTGCCACGGTTTAAAAAAAAAAAAAGGTAATAGTAAACTAGTAATTACAAGAAAAATATTGCAATTGTTAGATAAAAATTCAGAGACTAAATCAGAACTGCAAAATGTAAACAGAATTCAGAGAAAAAAAGTTAGAATTGTGAGATATAAACTTAGAATTGTAAAACTCTGAATAAAGACATTATAAAGTCTGAATTGTGAGATAAAACAATGCAATACCTTTTTTTCTGTGACGGAACCAGCCTTATTATAAAAATCTAAAGAAACATCTCAAAAACAGTCTGCATGTCAGAAAAAGGCCCTCCGATATTACTGACATTTCTGCTATAGTTCATTATCAGTTTTTAAAACAAAGGAAGTTAAACAATATTTGCAAGGTGATAAATACTTTCATTGTGGTAACTCATTGTTAAACTCGCTGATAAGATAACGATGAGTAGTGATATGATTTAATTTCCAAATTTCATTCTTATAAAGTGTTCTAAGTCAGGCCGAAATACAGTATTTCGTTCTGAGGTGATAAATACATTTATGTTTCATTCTCAAACACACAAAACACATTAACATCTCATAACAGAATGAGTGCAGATTATTGTGACATGTTTGGCTGTCCTCCTGCGTCCCCCTGTGCCTCCTCCAGCATCTGCTTGTACTGGCTTTTGAAGAACCCAGCCTTGTAAAAGGAGAAAATAAGCAGGAATAAAGCATTTAACAATATAGATAGTGTTGGCAGGTGAAACTGAAGGGCCAGTGATTACAATTGACTGTATGATGTGATATACCTTATAGAGGGCCGCTGTGATGAGAGCCAGTAGCAGCAGTCCTCCTATTACACCTCCAATGATCTCTTTAGTCAGATTCACCTCCTCATACACCTCCACTTGAGTATTAATCTACATAAATAGAAACATGTGAATTTCAGCAGTCAGATGTCACACTCAAGAAGTCCCACTTCCCACACAGATGTCCCATGTCAAACAATAGATACATGATTATAATTTTGGCTACTTAATTGGTTAATACTGTTGGTGTATTATATTACTACACTGAATTCAGTAAATATGAACTTTCAATCGAACATTTCAGTCGAGCGTGAAATGAAGCCTTTGTTATCCTAAGACTTTCAAGTTGGTAAGAAATGTTTTCTAAACATTTTTTAAAAATCTTACAGACCCTAGACATTTGGATGGTAATGCATGTACTCTTGTCTCTGTCAAAATCAACAAAAATTGTGTGACTTCCTGACACTTGTACGCAGTAACACAGCCACACATCTACAGGAAGTATATATGTGTAAAAGGATTGTGTGTGTGTTTGTGTGTGTGTGTGTGTGTGTGTGCAGTGCTGCATGAAAGTTTGTGAAGCCTTTAGAATTGTCTATATTTCTACATAAATATAACCCAAAAAATCATCAGATTTTAATGCAAGTCCTGAAAGTTGACAAAGAGAACCCAATCAAACAAATGAGATGAAAATATATGCTTTGTCATTGATTTATTCAGGAAAATTATCCAATATTACATATCTGTGAGCGGCAAAAGTATGTGAATCTCTAGGATTAGCTGTTAATTTGAAGGTGAAATTAGAGTCCATCTGTTCAGAGGTGTTTTCAATCA